GTCTTGCGTAGCACCCTGTATATCTACTTATGATATGCTAAGAAATATTCTCAGTATATACTGAGTAGGCTTCTAGGGCAGACATAGAAACATCCTCCGTACATTCTCAAAATATCGTGGTACGTATTTCGAATATTAATGGAATATACACAATCTACGTTTGCGATATACTGCGTATATACTCAGAATCTACCTGTGCTGTATGGGTAAGATATCACCTTACCCAAACCATGTCTGAGGTGTGGAGTGGATCTTGCTTCACGTAGAAAGTTGCAAATCCATGTGGAATCGTATATGTACTGTAAAGTACATGCTTACAATTAGATGGGAGGACAGGTATGAGATTTAGAGTCCATCTTTTTTCATCAAGTGCGGACGTAAGTATGTTAATAACTTTACAATTTGCCAAATAACTTTTTTCGTGATGCAAAAACTACGTTCTACATTTTTAACTCTTACTTTTACGCGTAAAATCATCTTGGTTGCATTGTATATTACACATAATAAAACTCACATGATTATATCACTCTCTATACGAACTATCTTCACAGGTCTAGAAATATCTACATCCCAATTAAAAACCGTAACGTAACTTTAATCAACTTTTCTAATGTTTCAATCATTGTCGTCACATAAGAGTCGAATTATAAAATATAGGCATACGTGTGAGCACTGTGGTTGCTGGGCTCGAACTGATCTGTTAGTCATGTCTTAGGAACAATACAAGGTGATATTGCGAACTATACAGTTTTGATTACACAGTCATATATTACATTTAAATATTCCGTGTCTGTTAGTAAATTTAACGCGTTATCGGTTTTCTTGATAAAGAACGTTTCGACAACTTCTCTTTTTCTCCTGAGGCGCTCGCTATGCAAAATTCTTGGTTTCAACTAATTGAACTCGTGATCATGTAATACGCGGTGTTCACTACCTACAGAGTGACAGCTTTCGTCTTTTTTTATGTCATTTCTATGTTCTTCAAATCTGGTCAGTAGGTGTCATTTCTTACGAATATTTACTGTAATATTAAAAACTATAAATATCTGTAAAATCTACTTAAAAATGCATAATTTTATTTAAAAAAGTTACGTCTTTAAGACTCAATATGTGATACTTGAATTTTTTATTACCTATACCCTTAAAATTTTTCTAAAATAATTATATATAATCTATGAACTGAATAAAAACCAATAAAAACAGGACCAATACAAAATTTGATTGTGATTTTGAAAATTTGATTGTGAATGATTGTGAAAATTTGATTGACCGTGATGACAGACTTACAGATGATTCCAATATGACGCGTTACAAAGTTTGTTCTCGAAATTGTGTTGAAATTGCTTTATGCTTACGATACCTTCTATGATTTACCATTTCGAAAATGGCCGCATTTAATATACTAAATAACTATAAATGAGCACACTTTGTAATTCTGTTACAGCTTGCGCATGTTCTACTTTGCGACAAACAGGATGTTGACGTCTTCAATGTGCAATTTTTCTTTTTTCAATATATCTCACAAATTACAATTCTACGTAAAAAAGCAAAAACCATATTTTGCATACGTTAAATATATCTTTGCATGTATATTGTATATATACATACAGGGTGGTCTAAAAGTCCCGGAACGGTTGAATATCCCGAGAAATTGTGGGTGGATTGGAAAACGGAAAAACACGTATTTCCTATTTTTGAAAGAGCTATCGAATGATACCAAAATTGACCCCCCCACCCCCACCCCTGTGGGTGGGGCGGGGGACAACTTTAAAATCTAAAATGGGAACCCCCACTTTTTATAACAGATTCGCATTCCACGTTAAAAATACATAAGTTTTGTCTGAAACATTTTTTTATTTGCTTAATAC